TATTGTGTTGATATCTAAATATAAATTATTTTTTAATGATAAATATAATTAAATATAAATTACTTTTAAATTTTTTTTTTCTGTATTTTGTAGAAATAATCGCCGAAGAAGAAGGTAAGGGTGAATTTGATTACGTAAAAATGCTTGACCTTCTTAGAGGAAGCGATCAAGATTTTCCTTACCTGCCTCCTGGTGGTGGCCTTCACGCTAAGTAAGTTTAGCAATGTTAAATTACAATTTTTAAGAACAATCCATATCATATTTCAATACTTAAAAATTCTTAATAAAAGATATTTTTAATTCTTAGATATATTTTATTTTCTCCTTTTCTACAATCATTGTTAGAAGGATTAACTGTATAGTTAAACATTATAGCTGTATAGTTAAATATTATATAATTTTAGCAAAGATGAAATTGCTATGTACTACATACTTACGTAATATGTATATATATGAACACAAATGTTTTCAAGAATATACTTTAAGCATATTTAGTATTTAGTTAGGTTTTATCAGTAGAAAGTGAGAATAAACTTTACGATTTCTGCAGTAAGATCTACGGTAATGTTAACGTTGCTACCAAATAGAACTGAATCAACAGTCTTCTATCAATTTGGCTAAATTCCAGAATATAATTAGATTTCTGTCTGCCATGAGAGCTCAATAATTTTATGCTTAACCTTCTCTAAATGCACTTGAGTGTATCAATATTTTCTCTTACAAATTTTGTAATATATGATAAGCATTATATTATATTCTTATATTGTTATATTCTTTCCTTTTTTCAGGCAACCCTTCATCGAGAAAGTGTTTCGAGAAATATGTCCCAGCAAAGCGAATACTGTAAGTGTTGGATACATGCCTTTGACATAACTAACCCTTGATCGTTTTTTAAACTGCATCAAATGTACAATTATATAATAATAAGATATGTTCTATAAAAGATGCAGAATTTATCGTGGACACATTTATTTGAATAGCAATCCTTAATATAAGAAAATCCTATCAATGTTAAAAAAAATTGATGTATTATTTATAAACTGATGAACTCTTGATAAAACTAAGTTTCGTAAAGTGCGTGCGTGCGTGCGTGCGTGCGTGCGTGCGTGCGTGCGTGCGTGCGTGCGTGCGTGCGTGCGTGCGTGCGTGCGTGCGTGCGTGCGTGCGTGCGTGCGTGCGTGCGTGCGTAATAGACCTTTACAAAGTGATTGGCACAACGTAAAATATTAGCGCGTAAATTAATTAAATATGCAGTAAATTGAATATTATATACTTTTGTAAATATTTCTATTTCCATTTATCTGTATTATTTGTTTAAAGACTCAAGCTGTATAAAAGTTTCCGTGGTGACTTTAGTAATTGCAGTAGTCATTGAAACAATACCCGGGATTATATATCTAAGGGAATCTATATTTCGAAAGATCACAAGATTTATATTTGTTTTAGAAGTATGGCTGATACTTAAATGCAGTATCAATAGTGAACATACTTAACTAAGTTTTATGCAAATTATTGATTTGCGAATTAAGCCAGTTAATAATTTTAATGGAATAATAGTACAAGTAAAATATCAACTACGAAGGGACTAAGGATAATTATAAATATTTTTAATTTTAATACGCACTCTTATTATTCTGAACAATATTTTATTTAGAATATGAGAAAAAGTCGAACAAACAAGATACTTTATATGTAGAGAACATTTGTATGATTGATGGCATATTTCAGGAGAAAATGTAAAACAGATTGCATAATTTACACATAATCGTAATTGATTATTTAATTTTTTCAACATTGATTATTTTTATAATTATTACTATCGTTGGATTTTGTAAATTTTTTTTCATGCAGGGAATAAAAAAATATAGTACACACAGTTATTATAAGAGGGATATTAAACAGATGTTAAAAATTAAATGTACAAGTTGGAATAAAAAATAGAAAATTAAATAATATAAAGTCTAATCAAGAAAGAAGACGTAAGTTTTAATATATTATAAATATGTAAAAAAATGTAGAGAGCATAATATGTTATTATGTATGCATTTATTTGAAGATACTTTAAAAAGGAATAGTATCTTTGAATATTTAATTATTGTGAAATTTTACACAATAAACTATTATACATTTTATACCGCTTGCATAGCTCTTTCACATGCGAACATGATTTAACGTTATATTTTATCAATAATGTATTTTTCCTTCAACACTGTACAAAAAATTCTGTATTTCAATATTTTCTGTAATTCATACATCATAAAGCGAGATTTTCAAACTTGAAAAGAATTTAATAGAGAATTTTTGTCATATCCTCTCGCTATGTTGATAAAAAAGTGTATAATATTGCTATGTACAATTATATATTTTTGTAGATCTAGAAAAGATTAGCGCTCAGAATATATATCTATGTCTCTGATCGGTATTTCCTATTCTTCCTATTCTTCGTTTATAATCAGTTCTTAGTGTTTATGGAATTATCAGCTCAATGTACTTCATAAAACTTCAAAAATTTTTTTACACAAGAAGAGTAGGAAAAACTGAATATTAGTTTTAAAATTATCAATTTTATTATATGTATGTATGTATGTATATATATATATATATATATATATATATATATATATATATATATATATATATATATATATAATATATAT